TTAGTGGCGTTGCCATGACAACGGTGGGATGGGAGGATGACACCTGGGAGGCAGGGGTCGTCACCCACACGTAGCGTGTGACGTCAGTCCAGCTCTTCCCTGTAGGGAATGTGGGGACTGCAGGGCGTCCCAGGAAGCCCCCTCCCCCATGTGCAGGGACAGGTCTGCTCAGGACAGGGGAGTCACGCCCTCCACCTGGAGCCCGTGGTGCCAGCATGCAGGAGACAAAGCCGGAAGTCACACTGAAGGGGACTGGGGACATAACCCCAGGGCAAAGAAGGGAGAGTTAAGCCAAGAATTGTCAGCTGACGTTTGGAGGGTCATTCAGGTGAATGGTGCTGGAGGCAGGAGCGCGACTGGTGTCCGCTGTGATTGCTGGTGGGGGGTGGCGGGGGGAGGAAACTGGAGAGGTGAGAGAACAGGGAAGCACTCCCGGAGGTGGGCGGTGCACCTGCCCAGTCGTCCTGTGGGGTGCAGGAGGGGGGCTCCTCCACAGTGACTTCTGACTCTGGAAATGGGCCCGGGGCTAGCTCCATTCACAGAAGGTCGAGGAAGTTTCCTCGAGAAATGACGCCGTAGTTCGGGACAGGTTGCATTGGAAGTGTGGGCGGGGCGTGTGGGTGGCAGTGCTGAGGGTCTTCAGCTCGGAGAAGGGAGTGGGTCTGTGGGGGGCTGGGGCTGAACGTCGCAGCTTGGGCCTCGGGCGTGTCCACCATAACACGGGGCAGGTGCGCGTCTTCCCCGGGACAGAGCCAGAGAGAATGGGCAGGCCCAGGATGACCATGGGGGTGTCCTGAGTCCAGCTGATGGGAGCGGGAAAACATAAATAAGACAACAGCCAGGGCAGGTGAGGACAGGAGGGCGTGTGGTCTATCCGCAGAGAGCCCCGGGATGCGTGAGTGCAGGGGATAGGACGGGCCTCTGCGGACAGGAGACTCCGGTGCTGCTCCAGCCCCTCACCCGGGGCTTTGTCCCAGGAGCGACCATCTCCATACCCCAGAACCAGCCGCTCGGGAAAGAGCCTATCCCTTCAGAAATCTGACCCCTCAGGCCACTGTCCACTCAGGTGTCCATCCCCACCTTCCTCCCTGAAGGCTGGCCCCTCGGGTGCAGGGGCTGTGGGCTCAGAATGCTGGCCAAACCCGGGGGCTGCGTGGACAGGTGTGCAGAGACACCTGGGTGCCTGGAAGAGCATGGGGCATGGAGGCCAGAGGGAGAGCAGGGGGTGGCTCTAGACATCTGAATTCCTGGGGGACACTGGGCTGGGGGCAACGAGGGGCAGAGAGCGCTGGCTTGGGGAGAAAGCCTGGTGTCTCCGGTGGAAGGGGTGTGGGGACCATCCGTGTGTTTTCTGGGAGGGATGTGTCACCGCGACCTTCCTCTCTGGCCAGTGCGCCTGTCCTCCCACAGGTCCTGACATGAGCCCCTGGCCCGAGTCCAACTGGACCACCCCGCAGGAGTTCGTGATCCTGGGGTTCTCCGGGTGGCCCCAGGGGCTGCAGCAGCTGCTTTTCGCCTTCCTCCTGCCACTCTATCTGGCCACGCTGGCTGGAAACCTGCTCATCCTGGGCCTGGCTGTCGTGGACCCCGCCCTGCACACTCCCATGTACTTCTTTCTGGGGGCACTGTCCACTGTGGAGGTGGCCTACACGCTGGTGCTGACCCCGCGCATGCTCGCCGGCTTCCTGCTGCCGCCGGGGGGCCAGGCGGTGGCCCGATCCACCTGCGCTGCCCAGATGGGCCTCTTCGTGGCGCTGGGAGGCTCCGAGTGCCTGCTGCTGGCCGCTATGGCCCTGGACCGCTACCTGGCCATCTGCCGCCCCCTCCACTACCCCCAGCTCATGACCACGGGGCTCTGCTGGTGCCTTCTCGCCTCCTGCTGTGCTGGGGGCTCTATCCTGGCCTTGGGGCTCACCACGGCCATTTTCCAGCTGCCCTTCTGCCAGGGGGGCTCAGTCAACCACGTCTTCTGTGACCTCCCGGCGGTGTTGGTGCTGGCCTGCGGGAACCACCAGCTGCAGGAGCGCGTCCTGCTGGCAGCTTGCCTGTTGCTGCTGGTGCTGCCCCTGGCCCTGATCCTGCTGTCCTACACCAGGGTGCTGGTGGTCATCCTGGGCGCTGGGGGGTGTGCAGGCCGCCGCAAGGCCTTCAACACCATGGCGTCGCACCTCACGGTGGCTGTGCTTCACTACGGCTGCGCCACGGCCATGTACGCCAGGCCCCTGAGTGGCCGCTCCCTCGAGGAGGACAAGCTGGTCTCGCTCATCTACATCAGCCTCACACCGCTGCTCTACCCCACCATCTACACGCTGCGGAATCGGGATGTGCAGCGCGCCCTGCAGCGGGTGGTCAGCGGCAGGATGGCAGGGACCGTCCCCCAGGCTGACGCCAACTAACGGTGTGAGCCAGGTGGTGTCTGTCCTGAAATCGCCCTCACTGAGGGGAACCTCACCATCCAGAGCCATCTGGGGCTCCCCGGGACGGGCTGGACAGAAACCTGAGTACGGCGTACCAGGACTCCAAAATCGGACCTCAGCCTAGTTCTTCGGCGTCTGTGGACATTTCAAGCTGAACAGTTCTCGTTGGTGGCCATGCACTGTGGGATGTTCCGCGGCCCTTGTCTCTGCCCAGTAGATGCCAGTAACACACCACCGCTCCCCCGCAGTTGGGATGACCAAAACTGTCACCTGACATGGCCAAACGTCACCTGAGGGGCAAGGTCAGCCCTGGTGGAGAACAGCTGCGCTGAACTCTGGCCACACGGTATCTGCTGAAGAGAAACGAGTCCTCCTATACAAGAAGTTTACGGCTGCGTTATTGATAACAGACAAAAACTGAAAACGAGCCAAATGTTCATGGACATGGGCTAGACACAGAGATGGGGCGCCTGGGTGGCTCCGTTGGTTGGGCGTCCGACACTTGATCTCGGCTCAGTTCATGCCGAGATCATGAGTTCAAGCCCCACATTGGGCTCCGTACTGGGTGTGGAGCCTGCTTTAAAAAAAGCAGGGGGGGACCTCAGTGACTCCTTCGGTTAAGCATCCCACTCTTGATTTCGGCTCAGGTCACGGTCTCAGGGTCATGAGATCGAGCCCCCACGTCGGGCTGCACACTGGGTGTGGAGTCTGCTTAAGATTCTCTCCCTCCTGCTCTGCCCTTCCCCCACCCCACTCTCTTTCTCTTAAAAAAAAAAAAAAAGAATAGACACCAACAACCTGTGGCATATTCGTGTGCGGGAACTATACACAGCAATGAGGAGGAGAGGTCTTCCTGTTGGCAGACGCAGACACAGACGTAATACTGAGTATGAGAAGCGAGACACCGAATGCCTCCCTCCTCGTAAGGGCAACGACAGGCTCATCTGTGGTGGTTGATACCATAAGAGGGGTCACCTAGGAGAAGGGTCTGTGTGGGCGCGGGCACTGGAGAAGTTCCGTATTCTGATCTGGTTGGGAATGACATGGGTATCCGTGTGTGCAAATCTTCATCCAGATGCTTGCCTTAGATCTGAGCACTTCGCTGTCCCTAAAATAAACCACAGCTGGTTCAACTGTTGCCAAGTAAGGCGGGCCATCGGGATTGCCATGCCCTTGCTTATGCTGCTTTATTTCCCTGGTACTCTCTTCCTCTCGTTCCACCTACGAAAACGCCTTCCTCCTCTCAATGACAATGGCTGCGACTCCAAAACATAATTTCAGCATCTGCTTCGCTTTCCGCTCACCTACCCACGCCCCCCATGCAACTATACGGTGAGCTCTTTAAAGCCAGACCTCAGACCCTGTTCTTCTAGTTCCAGATCCGTGAACTTGGTAGTTCTTAATAAGAATTTGATGGGAGGAACAAACCATAGACGAGCTCCTGGGTTCTCTGGGGGGTTCACATATGGGCTACAGGCCCAGGGCATAGCATAGCTCTGGAGTCCCACCAAGGGCAAGAATCTGTCAGACCGAGTCCTCCTCTGGGGTCTGTTCTCAGTGTCAGAGCGGGCTGACAACCTCAGCTGGCAAATTCTTAGGCCCAACTTACCAATCAATGCAAGGAGCCTCAGAAGCTGCAGGCTTGTAACTTGGCATCCTAACTGCATTCAGAAAACTCAGCAGACCTGATTGTACCAGGGCCCGAGTCCCAGATTGTGTGGGAGGGAACTCTTCCGAAAAACAGCCCCCCGCCCCGTAGAGTCCCATTCAGACACCGGAATTCTGAGGGGCAGAATCAGTGCAGGTGGATCCTGCTCACCTGGCCCCTTGGCGGGGAAATGGCCCACCTACAGGGGCTGCCTCGGAGCCCAGGAAGAAGGGAATATGTGCAGGCCACACGCAGCTTCAAGAATGGGTCACCAGCTGCCTCAGACGACTCGTGACAGGGTCTCCGTCCTTCCAGCCACCCGCCCGCCTGCCCACGCCACCTGCCTTCTCACCTACTGTGTCTCCCTCAGGCCGGTGCTAGGAGGTGAACGGGATGTCCCGATGTGCACAGAAGTTCTGGCTGGAGGCCCTAGATGCGCCACCCCTCCCCGAATCCACCAGGTAGATGGTCTTGTATTTTGAAGGGGCACCCGGTGCTCAGCCGTCTGTGGTTGTGCGTGGGGCTGATTTTGTTCCAGCTGGGCTCTGGAGCTGGGGTTAGGCTCCGGAGGGGCACTCCACGAGCAATCCTGCGACGCAGGCTGCACCCCATTAGAGTGGGAGCCACAACCGAGGAGCCATCTGCATTTGACCAGCTCACAGGCCTCCCTGGGGGGAAGGCAGGGGTGTCTGTGGTTGATTTGGGGTCTGAGCTGTCACCGGTTCATCTCAGGCGGGGGCAGGCGCACCTGCATCTGCGGCAGTAGCCCTGGGTCCCTGGGTCCCCGTGAACGGTTAGGCACGGCAGGCCCCTGGCCACATCTCTGGGGGCGGGCAGCAGGTCAGAGCCGGCCGGCCCTCCTAACCACCCCCGTTGCACAAAGGCTTTGAGAACATGGCGAGTCTTGAGACGCATGAAGTTTCGAGTTTTGGGTTCTTTTTTCATTTATTTATTGAGATATAAGTGACACGTAACATGACATGGATTTCAGGTGTACAACACAACTCTATAGATGCGCATACTGTAAAATGATCGCAGGAAGTATAGTTAACGTCATCTCACATTTGCCACATTGCCCCCCTTGTGATGAGAACTTCAAAGATTGACTCTTAGCAGCTTTCAAACACACGATAGTCTCCAGTGTCAGATTCTCTACCATCCCCCATCTGACCCTACAGACTCTTACGGGAAAGATCTGCAGTGGATGTCCCCCCGTGGCCACTTCCCTCTCCGGGGTGTCCCAGTTGGCCTCCCCAGGATAGGAGTGACTTGCAGCAATGTGACAGTGACAGGCGGACCCCCAGGCCCCCAGGGCTGACGCGTCGGCACTCTGCAGGCTGACCAGCCCAGGGCCACGTCTGTGGGCTTTGACTTTAGCAATGAGGTTGCTAACTTGCTCAGGCCTCGTAGGTGGCACTTGGACCACTGACATCAGGCTACTAGATCCCGTGCGACCATGTGCCAAGGGTGGGACCCGCAATATCCCACGGGGTCAAGGGACAAGGTGTACAGCAACGGAGGGAGCGCGGGCCCCGCCGCATCTGCCTTTGCAGGGAGCTGTGCCTCCCCTGAGCGCGAGGGCCCCTATGGCGCCAGGCGGGACTGGGAGTCCCAGGGCCACCTGTGAGCACAGCTCGCAGGGAAGGAGTCTCTCTGGCCTGTAAGGGCACGTGGGGCCCGGCAGGGTCACCACTCCTGTCCCGGCCGTTACCCCATGCAGCAGGTCCTCAGAGCCTCGGCCGGGCGGGTGCTCGGAGTGGGGAAGCTCGCTCGAAGTCCAACACTTGCTGGGGGAACTCGCCCTCCGCGGGGCGTTAACAGGTGGAAGACAGACCCGCAGGATCTCAAAGCAGCCCCCGTGGCCATCCTCCCAGGTCCAGGAGGACTCTGGTTGCTTCTTTCCCAGCTCACACTTCGGGATGGAAAGGAGCAGCACTCTGCATGATCAGTAGCCACAGAGCAAAGCCAGCACCCGCCGAGGCCAGCGAGCATGGGGCCCCCAGATGGCACAGCTCGCCTGTTCCTATGGCCGTTATGACGTTAAACTAACACTTGTTAAGGTGGTCAGCGGGTTCGACAGCAGGCCACAGGAGAAATGGAAACAGAGACGTTTATTATTCACAGGGCCCCGGGGGGGAGGAGTACACAGCAGGCCTGGAGGGGCCACACGGGATGTCAAGGCAGAAAGCAGACAGAAAGAGACTGGACCTGGGGCACGTGACTTTATCAGGGTCTGTAGGCTAGGACCATGCTGGTCAATGCAAACCAGAAAAAAGCAGGTTTAGGTAAGCGCCATGGGGGTCTTGGCTAAGGAGCGTCAGGCGCTGGCGAGCAGGGGAGTCTGCAACTCGCAAGATGTGGGAGAAGCCACGTGGGGACCCCACATCTGCTGGCGGCTTCACGGCTGCAATCGGGGGGCCAGTGTCAGGGTCGGGTCCCCACAGACCGCTCGGCCAGACAACGCGGGGGCGGAGCAGCTTAGCCAGCTCTCGACAGGTGTGTATCTAAGATGCGAATTTACCGTTTATCCATCTGGGCATACGCTGTGCTGCCTGCATCTGTGAGCTCACGTCTTGTCAAATCCGAGCAGGGTTTTCTTTGAATATGTACTTGTCTTCCTCTAGTCTGCCTTTTAGGAACTCCTGCTTGCTCTTCTCGTTTTAATCTAGATGCTTCTCTGTAGACGGACTCCTAGGAATCTGCTTTGCTCTACTCTGTTCATTTTCTCTGCAGCTGAGTATCGCCTACCGCTGGGCTTTACGCTCAGCATTTTGATGTTCACGTTGCAATGCCTATATTTCTCTGTGTTCCCCTTTCCAAAGAGACCAGTTATCTGGCTTTGTGCCTTGCTTTCATGTGGTTTTAAGTTTTTGCTTTTAATCATTTGTAGAGGTAGTTATTTTTATAGAATTTTGTGTGTTTCCACGACCCTAAAATCCTGGATGTTATTTTGCTCAAGTGTCTGTTGACTCTCTCGCTGTGGATTGGTCCTTCGTGTTGTGTAGTTTGGGATTATGAAGTCATGTTGGGTTTGTATGTCAGAAGCCTGACAAATGTGGGTTGAGGGTGTCTCCCTCCAAAATGTATTTTGTTTGCTTCTGTCATTTGTTTCAAAGACAGGGAAAATTTCTATACGGACTGGTTAGTTTTAAAACTGGGACAGGAATAGGGGAAATTCCAAATTCTGACTCACACGGGATGCTGGCTAGGGCTCATGAATTATTGGGGGTGAATTTTTCCCCATCAGAGCCCAAAGGAGAGACAGACAAGCTTTCTGCGTGAGATTTTTTGCTAGTCCACCCCCTTTCCCTGTACGTACAGACCTCTGAAATTTCTGAATTTGTAAGTTACTTCCGTACCCACTCTCTGCCTTGTGTGCCCCAAGGCCTCGCCTCGTGTCCTCCTTTGGTCTCGAACACCCAAGCTTCGGGGTAAACCTAGTCAAACCCACCGGGCAGCTACAGCTTCGGCCCTCCAACTGCATCTCTGGCTCTCCGTTCAGCTTACCTCGCTGGCACCTGGAGACTCCACTGGTTTTCTTGCCAGCTGAACTATGCATTTAAAAGAATGTTATCTATTACTGGTCACCATTTCTGGTCGTTTACAGTGGAACGGCTTTCACCTCAGGTGGTCCGCCATTCTGCCATAAAAGGGAGTTCTAACCTTACACAATATGAAACCTAATTATGAGCCAGTTGGTGGAGAGATCCTCAGGAGATGTCATGAAATCGCTGGTTTTCAGATCCAGCAAGTAAACAAAAAATGGAATGGGATGTTGGTATGATGTCTGGAGTCCTGGTTTAATAATAAGCTCTTATTGTTCTGGGTATAGTGTACATCAGAGACAAAAAGGCATAATTTCACGTGAGACATCCTGATAGAGGTCGTTCTGTATATTCCAGTGTGCATGCCTAACAAGCTCACACTTATGTTCAATTACCAACATGGCTTAAAAATAAATCAGATTCTTTCTAGGCAGCATCCTCAGGAACATAACCCCTATAAGCTCCCTGGGATTGCTCTGATGTTTATTAGATCTGTTGTCTTAAAGATTTAATTTATTCACAGACTTCAAAGCTCCATAGCCACAGTTAATGCAGACAGATAGACTTTATAATGAGGCATAGCCTATAAAAATAGATCACTCTAGAGCATCATTAGCCTCCTGTCATGGTTTTAAGAGACAGGCTCTTCCTAATTCTCCAGACTGGTCAAATTTCACCTCGGAATGCATCCCTTGCACACCCATGGCACTGGACTTCCTGCTGAAGGGTTGTCCACACTCACAACATCCAGAGGTGTGACATTCGCGGATGTGCCGTGACTCGGGCCGAAGCCCAGCTCTCCTTTTACCCATACAGCTTCTCCCGGGTGTGGATTCTGTGGTGGCGGATGAGGTTGGCCTTCTGGGAGAAGGTCTTCCCACACTCAGAGCACTCGTAGGGCTTCTTGCCCATGTGAGTTCGCTTGTGTATGATGAGGCAGGAGTTCTGCGAGAAGGCTTTCCCACACTCGCTGCACTTGTACGGCTTCTCGCCCGTGTGAGTCCTCTGGTGCAGGATGAGGTGCGACTTCTGGAAGAAGGCTTTCCCACACTCACCGCAGCCGTAGGGCTTCTCCCCAGTGTGGATGCGGTGGTGGATGATGAGGCACGACTTGCGCGAGAAAGACTTCCCACACTCTTTGCAGCCGTAGGGCTTCTCCCCCGTGTGAGACCGGTGGTGCTCGATGAGGCGGGACTTGTGGGAGAACATCTTCTCGCACTCGGAGCACTTGTAGGGCTTCCCTCCGGCAAGAGCTGCAGCGGGCACCGACAGGCTCGTCTTCTGGGATGGCGTCATCCTGCCGCGGCCATCTCCCCCGGGTTTCTCTCTGGGGTGACCTCCCCGGCTAACCCTGCAGCCGAGCCCCTGTGCCCCGTGCGCGGAGGCCTGCTTGCCGCCGTGCACCCCCAGGTGTGTGCTGAGTTCCGATTCGCAGGAGAAGCCTTTCCCACACTGCAGGCACCTGTGGGCTCTCTCAGCGCCACCAGCTCCCCGGTGGGCACTCAGGGCCTGGTTCTGGTGGAGGGCTTTCCTGCAGCGGTCACACTCACGCAGCCGCTTTCCGGAAGGGGGGGTTTCAAGCTTGGAGTAGAGAAACAAGTTCCCCTGTCCGTCACACTCAAATCTCCTTCTCGCAAGGTAGGCATTGGGGCTAACATCCACGTTGCACGGCAGACTCATTCCACACGAGTCACATGTATGTACTTGCTGTTTTGAAGGAGCAAGGTTTGTGTCCTGACAGACTGTCTTTTCAATTGTTTTACACTCGTGGCGCCCTTTCTTGGTTGGTTCTTGCTTGTCTAGGAATGCAACGTGCCTCAGAAGTTTGTCTTGGTATTCCTGTTGTGTACCTACTGGGCGGTCAACTTGCAAAATTTCTTCTAGGGGAAAAAAAAAAATGACACAAACTTATTAATCTTTCCAGGATCACGTCACAGAACTAAATGATTTCAGAAACACTCAGGAGGAAGATTAACTTTGTGGTTTCAGACCTCATTGCTGAGAATCAATCATCACAATCATAAGCCTAATACAAATACGTCCTAGTCCCTTAGCTTTTTTTTTTTTTTTTTTAATTTACTTATTTATTTTAGAGAGCAAGTAAGCATGAGTGGGAGAGCCAGAGGGAGAGAGAATCCCAAGCAGACTCCACACCGAGCACGGAGCCCATCACAGGGCTTGATCTCACAACCCAAGCTGAAATCAAGAGTTGGATGCCCAACCAACTGAGCCACCCAGGCGCCCCATCCCTTGGCATTTGAAAGGAAAAAATGGGATACTAGAAAGAGGGATAAAACATGGACAATAAATATAAGTAGCTTTGCTATTAACGAGTATGACACAGTCAAATGAGAAGAAGGTGAAGACACACAAGTAAAAGGGAGTGAGAGAAAAACTGGAAAGATAGTGGGCATGTTGCTGTCCACGTCACTGTGGTAAACACACTGAGATTCTTAAATGTCAGATTCGGCATCCCGTGCTTGGATCCTCATTTGCTTTTAGCTTCTTTTACATTTTAAACCACAAACTATACCTGTGTTTCACCTCTCACACCCACAACCAAAGCAGCCAAGGAGCTCCTCGGTTTAGAAATGTTGAAGTTCCTTGAGTCCCATAGCTGAATTCCTAAGGGACAAAATCAAGCCTATTGATCTTCCGCCCTGCCTACACCAGGGTGTTCTGGGTTGGGACCCAGCTAGGGGGTGTTTTTAAAGCTCTCCAAGTGATTCTGGTGTGCACCCCTGATTAGTAACAACGTCCCTGAAACAAATGCTTAATAAATGACCCTGGAAGGATAAAAGGTCCTGGAAGGAAGAGGGAGTTAGTCAGTGTCCACGATGTGTGTCCCACAGAATAAGGACAAATAAGATAAATGCTCTTCTCCCCATGGGATTATACTGGGATTATACTTCTTATTCCTAAGAAAGGAGTTTCATTTTTGACCTATTAAGCCAAATGGGGCCATATTACATGTTTTGAAAGAAGAGGCATTTAAAGTCACATAAAAGGGAGAAATTAAGTTTTTGAGGCATTTCACAGTAAAAGACAAGACAACAAAAATAAAAATGAGGGGCACAAAATAAGTTATTTTAAAATAGGGGCAGGGGCGCCTGGGTGGCTCAGTCATTAAGCATCTGCCTTCGGCTCAGGTCATGATCCCAGCATCCTAGGATCGAGCCCCGCATTGGGCTCCCTGCTCAGCAGGAAGCCTGCTTCTCCCTCTCCCACTCCCCCTGCTTATGTTCCCTCTCTCTGTCAAATAAATAAAATCTTTAAAAAAATAAATAAAAAAAATAAAATAAAATAGGGGCAATCTACAAATCCCTGAAAACATGGGAAAGTCTGTTTCATAACCATGGGAGAAATCAGACTGAAGATTCTAGAGAAAAACTGAACAAGCAAGGTCTCAGATGGGGACAGTCGAGTCAAATAAAAGAATAAATAAAAATAGGTCTTTCTCTAAAACCCAGGGAAAGGAGAGTGATCATGTAGTGATGTGTGATGTGTGTAGGTAGCAAGAGTCATTTGGGGCAACTCAAGGTCTCAGGCCAAACGTCCACAGCTGGGTGCAAAGATCCAAGGCCTGAAACAAAAACCCACCTGAAATTCTGCTCTGTGACCAACTGGATGTCCACTGCCTCCCCCCCCCGCCCTGCCGCCCGGGGTCCCCCCGGCTGCAAGCTGCTCCTTTCTCACCTGGAAAGCTCCATCTGAGGATTTCTTCCTCCTCCATCCATGGTTCTTGCCCTTGCTCCAACCTGGAGATCACAGCTGGTTTGGTAACTTGACACCCTGTTGATGAGAAATATCCCTGGTTATGAGGATTTATGCCGAGCCACTTGGGCCATCTAAGGAAGCAGAAGGTTCGGGTGGCTCAACGAACATTTACATCTCGGCTGAAGAATGGGTATCTCACTTGGGAGATAAATTCACAAATAATTTGGGTGAGATGAGAGCCAGACTTGTTGACAACTGAAACCCAAGGCCAAACATGCTTAGTCCTTGAGAGGTTTTGCATAACAGAAAAGAAAGGAGCTCAGACAGAATCGGGAAACACGGGAAGCTCTCCTCACCCACTGAGACCAGGTGGCTGTAGTTCTCCAGCATCACGTCCCGGTACAGCATCCTCTGTGCGGGGTCCAGCTGCTGCCATTCCTTCCGGGTGAAGCCCACGGCCACGTCTCTGAATGACAGTGACCCCTGGAACAACATGTTCCTGATTAATCTGGAATGTTCGGCACAGAGTACCATGGCAAAGGTGTAGAGGTGGTGGATCTTACCACCTTCGATGTCAGGTTTCCCCATGTTAAGTGATTTAGGAAGCTTAGCATGCCCCTAACTCTGTACTACATTTTATGGAAGAGAAGAAAAAGATTATTAGAATAGATCTCACTTCTGGATCTCTATTCATCCATTCATTCATTCAGTGCATGAACATCTATAGAAGATTTGGTAGGTTAATGGCATTCCACCTGGTGCTTGGGGTTGAAAGCTGAGTGCAACATTATTCCTGCTCTAAAGGCATTTGGAGTCTGGTGGAGCGAGATAAACATAAGACTTCCATATGGTATGATTACACCAGAGGCTATGACGGAAGTATATTAAGGACAGAACAGACACAAAGACAGCAGTCAAATTCAATGTCCTGATGTCAAGTTAAGCTTCACTGGAGGCTGCCTTTGAGCAGAATTGTGAAAGATCAACGGCATGTCCTGATGTCTGAAGGATATTTTCTATCAAGAGGCATGGCATGAGCAAAGGCAAGGAGTCACAGAAAAAAATCTGGTAGGAATTGCAAATACTTGGGAATGACAATGTAGAATATAATGTGTGTGTATGTGTGTGAGAGAGTGAGAGAGAATAGAGAGAGCGTGCAGATCACAAGACAAAGGGTTTTTCTCCTATAAGGCAATGGGGACTCCCATCACAGTATTTAAGGAGGGGAGCTACAAGAGATGATGAGATGTAGAAAAAGGTAGGGAATCACTGGGAGAGTAAGTAAATAAAATTGGGACACAATTATAATCAATGACATGAGATATGGTCAAAATTAAGGTAGCAACAAGAGGAAAACAGAGAAAGGATTCCACAAATGCAGAATAGGGCTTGGCTCTCTTTCCCCTCCTCCTTCATCTTCTCTCTCTCTGTATGAATTAAGGACCAAAACAAATTAATTTATATTGAATGTAGTAATACTGTAACAGTGTGTAAATCATTTTTAACACAAGTATGGAAGTTAAAAGGCAAAAACGTAAAAATAACTATAATCAGATTAATGGAAACAATATAAAAGTAAAATCTGACCTAAATAACAAAGTATGAATGTGTGAGGAAGTAAAGTGTAGAGTTGCCATATGTGATTGAAGTTATCAGGCTAAAAGAGACGGCTAAAACTATAAAATATTTAGTGCAAGCCTCATGGTAACCACACCAAAAAAATCTATAATAGATACACAAAAATAAAGAGGAGAGAATCAAAACATATCACTACAAGAAATCCTCAAACCACAATAAAGACAAGAGAGGAAGAGCAGAAGAAAGAAACTACAGAACAGAAAACGATGAACAAAGTGGCAATAGTAAGCCTTTACCTACTGGCAATTATTTATTTTTTTATTTTTTTACGATTTTATTTATTTGTGAGAGAGAAAATGAGAGACAGCACGAGAGGGAGGAGGGTCAGAGGGAGAAGCAGACTCCCCGCTGAGCAGGGAGCCCGACGCGGGACTCGATCCTGGGACTCCAGGATCATGACCTGAGCCGAAGGCAGTAGCTTAACCAACTGAGCCACCCAGGCGCCCTGGCAATTACTTTAAACGTAAATAAACTCAACTCTGAAATTAAAACACAGAGTGGCTGAAAGGGTAAAAAAAAACAAGACCCAATTATATGCTATCCACAAGAGACTCACTTTAGACTTCAGGACACATATTGGGTAAAAGTGAAGGGGTGAAGAAAGACATTCCATGCCATGCAAAGGTAATCGAAAGAGAGCTGGTCTGGCTATACTTGCATCAGACAAAATAGCCTTTAAGTCAAGTACTGTCACAAGAGACAAAGAAAGTCCTTTTATAGTTAAGAAAGGGTCCATTCAACAGGAAGATATAACATTTTTAAATACATATGCACCCAACATCAAAGGCCATAAACATATAAAGCAAACATTGACAAATCACAAGGGAGAAACAGAAAATATTACAATACTAATAAGAGACTTAAATAGCCCACTCTCAATAATGGATAGATTGTCTAGACAGAACATCAACAAGAAAACAGCAGAAATGAGCAACATGACAGACCAAATGGTCTTAAAAGATATTTATGGAACCTTCTACCCAAAGGCAGCAGAATACTCACTCTTGTCAAGAGCACACAGAATGTTCTCCAGGAGGGATCATAAGCTAGGTCACAAAACAAGTCTTAACAAACTTAAGAAGACTAAAGTCATTCCAAGTATCTTTTCTAATCACAATGAAATGAAACTAGAAATCAATAATAGAAAGGGGAAAACTCAAAAATATTGGAAATTAATATATTCTTAGACATCATCGGGTCACAGTAGAAATCAAAAAGCAAATTATAAAATATTATCTTAAGACAGATGAAAACACAAGAGACCAAAACTTAAGGGATACAGCAAAAGCAGTACTAAGAGGGAATTTTGTAGAAATGAACACCTACATTAAAAAAGAAAAAAAACCTCAAATAAACAATCTAACTTTGCACCTCTAGAAAAAGAACAAACTAAGCCCCAAATTGGCAGAAGGAAATAATAAAGATTAGAGCAGAAATAAATGAAATAGAGAATAGAAAAATAATAGAAAAAAATAAAACTAAGAGTTGGTTTTTTGAAATGATAAAATTGACAAACCCTTAGCTAGACTAAGAGAAAAAAAAAGAAGACTGGAATAAATAAAATCAGATGTGAAAGAGCAGACATTACAGTTGATGCCACAGAAATAAAAAAGAACTATGATATACAATTCAATGCCAACTAATTGGACAACCTAGAAAAAATAAACACAATTCTAAAAAAAAAAAATACAACCACCAATACTGAATCAAGAAGATACAGAAAGCCTGAGCACAAAAAAAAAAAAAAAAAAAAAAAGAAAGCCTGAGCACACCAGTAACACATAAAAAGAATGAAGAAGTAACCAAAAAACTCTTAACAGAAAAGCCCAGGACCGGGGCGCCTGGGTGGCTCAGTCGTTGGGCGTCTGCCTTCGGCTCGGGTCATGATCCCAGGGTCCTGGGATCGAGTCCCACATCGGGTTCCCTCCTCAGCGGGGAGCCTGCTCTCCCTCTCCCACTCCCAGGGCTTGTGTTCCTGCTCTTGCTATCTCTGTCTCTGTCAATTAAATAAATAAAATCTTAAAAAAAAAAAAAAAGAAAAGCCCAGGACCTTCATGAGTGAATTCTACCAAAAATTTAAATAATACCAATCCTTCTTAAATTCTTCCCAAAAAACAGAAAAAGAGGGAACACTTCCAAATTCACTCAACGAGGCCAGCATCACTCTGATACCAAAACTAAAGACATCACACAAAAGAAGACTATAGGCCAATAACCCTGATAAACATAGATGCAAAACCCCTCAACAATATATTAGCACATCAAATTCAACAGCACAGTAAAAGGATCAGACACCATGACCAAGTAGGATTTATCCCTGGGATGCAAGGATGGTTCAACATATGAAAATCCATGTGAGACACCACATTGACAGAATAAAGGATAAAGATCACAAAATCAGCTTAATAGCTGCATAAAAAGCATTTTGCAAACCTCAACACCCTTTCACGATTAAAAGCTCTTAGCAAAAACAGAACTTATCTCAACACGATAAAGGCCATTTATGAAAAGCCCAGAGCTAACATCATACTCTGTGGTGGAAGCTTTCCCTCTAAGATCTGGAACAAGGCAACGGTGCCTGTTCTTGCCTCTCCTATTCAACACGGTACTAGAAGTCCAGCCAGAGCAATCCGGCAAGAGAGAGAAATAAAAGGCATCCAAATCAGGAAGGAAGAAGTAAATGTACCTGTGCTCGAAGATGATGTGATCTTACTGAATGTGGGTCTCAAAGAGGTATCTGTGTTCTCATGGCCCTTGCGGCAGCATTCACGGTAACTTAGAGATGGAAACCACCTAAGTGTCCATCAGTGGATGAACAGATGATGTGGTGTATACATACTATGGAATACTGGCCACGAGAGAGAAGGAAAGCCCTTCATTTTGGACAACACGGATGAACCTGGAGGACATTATGCTGAATGAAATAAATCAGACACAGGAGGACAGATACTGCATGGCCTCACTTCTATGAGGACTCTAAAATGGCCAAACTCCTAGAACTAGAGAGTAGCATGGTGGGTACCAGGGGCTGGGAGGGGCAGGGAAATGGGAAGGTGTTGGTTAGGGGTTCAATGTTTGCTATGGAAGATGGGGACGTTCTGAAGATCTGCTGTACAGCATAGTGTCTATAGTTAACCACCCTGCATTGTATACTTAGAAATTTGCTAAGAGGGCATATCTTATGTTAAATGCTCCTGCCACAAAAAGAAAAAAATACATACATTTAAAAAGGGGGCTGGAGGAAACTTTTGCAGGTGATGGATTCAAGTCTGTGGTGATGGTTTCATGGATGTACACTTATCTCTAAACTCATCCAGCTGTGCCCCGTTTGCATGTCAATAATACCTCAATAGAGTGGTTTAAAAAACAGAATTTTCTAGTCACCTTTTAAGTAAAAAAGGAAATGAATTAATTTTAATAAGAACTTTTAGTCTAATATATCCAGAGTATTATCATTTCAATATAGAATTATTTTAAAATTACTGATATACTTTTCATTCTTTTTCACACCATATATTTGAAACCTGGTGGGTGTTTTCCACTTTACAGTACATCTCAATTCAGACACTACATTTCCAATTTCACTTTCATGAAATGTCCTATAAAAACAATAAACTTGTCTTTGATGGGGAAGTATTTTACTCTGATTCCGTTTTAAACTTTAAGTGGAGGGGCGCCTGGGTGGCACAGTCAACACAGTTGAGCGTCCAACTCTTAGGTTTCAGCTCAGGTCTCATCTCAGGGTCATGGATTCAAGTCCCATGTCGGGCTCCATGCTCCACACTCAGCGTGGAGTCTGCTTGGGTTTCTCTCTTCCACTCTCTCGGATAAATAAATCTTTAAAAAATAATAATAAAATTTAAGTGGAAATGAAAAACTCAGGTCCCCTGCACCACTAGCCACTCTTCAGGTGCTCAGTATCCACCTGGGGCTGCCGGCTGCCATATTCGACGGCAGAGCACTGCTGGGTTCCTCTGCTGGGGCTATGTGTAGGGCAGATAAAAGTACAGTGCAGTTCAATCACTCAGGGTGACTGAACAGGCACTTCTAGGCCTGCCTGTCTGTCCACATTCACATCCCAACTCCATCGCCTGATAGACGTGAGATTCCAGGCAACTTGCTTAGTATCTCCAGCCTCTGTCTGTCCATCTGTAAAGCAGGAGGAGGGGCTAAGAATACCTATCTCACAGGTTCATTCGTGAAATAACGTATGGAAAACGCAGAGACCGGCACATAAGCGCTCAACAGGTGGAGCTTTGTAACTTTTATTGCCAGCGTTTCTGCTGCGGGTAGCCCTGAGGAGCAGGTCACAGTGAGGCTTAGTTTCCTGCACAATAACGGCTTCCCCAAAAGGCACAGATGAAACCTCCAGCCCGAGTACGGGTCCGACAGCCTAGAGATGCAGGCAGCTCTCTCCTCTGGGAAGGCCGTGGAGCTGCCACCTCGTTTCCAACCCTCTCATACTGGCCCTATGCCCAGATGGTCCCGGCTTTTTTAGGCACAGACACTCTCATTAAGATAGGTCTCCAAGCCAGAAACCAAGATCCTGAGAACATTTTTCTTCCTGGAGTGAACAGCTGTAACATCTATCCATGAGGCCTCGGCTTCCTCCTCGGCAAGCAGGCTCCCTCCAGCACCCCAAGCCCAGACCCTGCCTCTCCGCCCTAGACGTGCACTAAGCTGGGCTAATCTGAATCTCTCCCAAAGACCGTGCAAACGGGCTCTACGAGAGGGGACTTGGTCCCTATCTCTGGCAGGACTCGTAAGTGTGGGGTTGTGGGCCACGCCTACTTCTGGCCACATGGATGACGTCAGTATGAGAGAAGGAAGTTACGGACGCAGAGGCAAGGGACTAGAAAGACTCCGGGCTGTTTCTGAGTCCCAGCGGCATACCTGCTCCTCCCACGGTCTGGGTACTGCCTAGATTTGGGGTTCACCCTCAACTAGTTCTAGCTGGGTTTCTGGCTCTTGAAATGTGGATTCTGGCCGGCACACTTCCCGTTCATGAGTTCCTGGGCCCGGGGTAAAGAGAGGGGCCCGTCACAACTAGTTTGAGAATGAAGACAGGCTGGGAGCAGACGACATCACTGAAATCTGAAGATCACAGTGGCCCCGTAAGAAAGGGGGCCAAGGGCAGATGCCAAAGACTGAAACTGAGCTGTTCGCTCTCCATCTGTGTCAAAACACTACTATGAAAAAGAACTGGCAGAACATGCTACTCGTTCCTTCCTCTGCACAACGCAGTGTTTCCTCTAGGTCAGTCTGACATCACAAGGCTGTTTACATAGAACCGCGGACTCTGATTCCTTAAGCAACCGCGATCACAGATTTCCGCACTGATGTAAGACGCACTGTTTATATGGAAAGAAAAGTCACAGGAGATTTGCCGGTGCGTCTGCCGCGGCATTGTCATTACTGAGGACCCCGCCTGCGAACCTCACATGCCAAGTCCCGTCACGTAAACTCAATACCAAAACCAGCTTTATTTCCTCTGAGAAGTGGACATGCTAGTCCCAACCAGACAACACCAGTCATACATTGGATGGAACCTGTCTTTGGAAAGGGCCGGCAATGTCAGACCCAAGTTTACAGAGCAGCTCCTAACTACACCCGCCCGGCCCTTCGCATGGCCTCCTCCTTCTACTCACTTCCCGTCTTCAGTGCTCCTGGGTCCTGTGTGCATTGTTTTTACTGGATGCATTCTTAGAAGCATCCCCGAAACCCCCTGGTAAAGCAGAGTGCAGTACAAAGAAATGCCACGGGGCGCCTGGGGGGCGCAGTCGGTTCAGTATCTGACTCTTGATTTCGGCTCAGGTCGTGATCTCGGGGGTCGTGAGATCGAGCCCCACGTGGGGCTCCCCACTCAGCAGGGAGTTTGTTTCTCCCTCTCCCTCTCCCTCTGCCCCTCCTCCTGCTCGTGCTCTCTATCAAATAAATATATCTAAAAAAATAAATAAAAGAAGTGCCGTACTCACCTGGCACATGGTCCTTCTCTGATGGGCCGGGAAAAGCAGACACCTGTGGAAGCAGAGACGGGGTGGGGAGAGGAGAGGACGTGAGAGACCAAGCTCGCCCCCAGCCTCTGAATCATCTGCCACCACCCCCGCCTCCAGGCACAGGGGGAGGACAGGCTTCCCCCAAGGACCCCGCCATCACACAACGACCTCGCCTTGGCGTGTGATGGGGACCCAACCGTGTGAGGGTTCAATCTGGATTTTTCTTTTCTACTTAATCCACATACGTATCTGTGTCTCACTCATCAGTGTGCAATTTACTAAACCCTCCCCTCATTCCCCAGAAATTTAATAGAAATTTATTCTGAAGAAACAGTCATGAGTTTAGGCAAAGAGTTAGCCGCCAAGATATTTATTACATTTTGTTAAAACTCTGAAATAAAACAGAAAATAACTAAATATCCAATGAAGGAGGATGAGTTAAATAAACACACGACCTCCAAAGGGAAACGAACCGTTACGCAGCTAATGAAAATAAAATCATGGAAAACTATTTTAGTGATAACATACTCATCACTGAAAAAAGGTGGGTGAAAACGATTTGATCCCACACACACAGATGCACGCACACACACTCACGCAGAACAATCTCTGAAGTGATGTAAGACAAAAAGCTAGTAGCAGTTAGCTCTGGGCAGTTGGGTCACGACCATTTTCTAAAATACTCTTTGTCCTTAGATGAATTTCCTAACTTTTTCTATGACAAACAGGCACTTCGTATATAAATGTTATTTTTTAAACATCTGTTGTCTACTGAGCTTCTAACCCAAAGCTTGTCACCAGTCCTGCCCCCGGCAGACATTGAGGACGACTCCCAGGAAAATATAGAAATGGGTTCCTTAAGTCAGAGTCCGTTAAATGGAGTTCGGCCACGGCAGGCGGGGGGCGACAAGGCGGGGCCCTGCGGCCCATCGGGGGCCGGCCGGGTTCTCTGTGCTCCTCCTCCCGGGGCTGTGGTCTGTCCACAGTCACTGTTAGTAACAGCCACCCTGGCTGATCTGTGCTGACCTCTGCCCGGGAAGCAGGCCCGGTCTGGCTCTGCCACTTACCAAATATGGGACAAGATCTGATGGCTTCTCCTGAGCCCTCCTCCTCCTTTCCTCATTTTGCCAGGAACAGGAACACGAAGGTTCAGGAGCAAATTTACTGTGGCTGGAAGCATCAACTGGACCCCACACCTATCTCTCTCCTGAACACACACGAGGTTGGTCTTAGGTATGTTCCTACTCAGGACAGAGACACACGGGAGTTGGGTCCAAGAAGTCTGCAGAGACACTAAAACTCTAGAATTACAGTAACTCCATAAAGAATTCTGAGGGTGTTTTTGTTTTTAATTGGAGACTACCTAAGTGCTTAAAAATAAGAGATTAGTTAATCAATTTTGATACAATTAAAGCATGCCATGCTATGAATCAATTTAAACTACCACACAAGAAATTATCGGACATGGAAATCTCTTCTGGCCATACCAGTAAGTGGGGAAAAGGAAAAAAAGGAGGATACGTAATCCATAAGCACATGATTCACAGATGGGTATCAGGTAGATGGATGGGATGTTCCTAGGTGCCTGGAGTTCTAGCTAAATTCCCAAACACCCCAAATTCTCCGGGGGAGCTGCTAGACCCAACCTAACAGACGCCTCCCTTTGGAGAGGGAACGGCAGAAGGAGAGGTGTCTACTGAAGGTGTATGTGGGGTTCTGCTTCCCTCCCATGCCAAGAGGGGTGGTTACAAGAGAACCAGAGGGAGCCTGCAAAAAGTTGGGGGGATAACCTCGCCCCCCGCAGGCTGGCTGTGTGCCCAGCTGCAGAAATTCTCGGGCACGCGGGGGTTCAGCAGACGGGGCGCGGGTGCTCCAGGGAAAGCTGTGTGCACGCGGGAGCCCCAGCAGCCGAGGACCTCAGAAGTTAGAGGCCGGCAAAGGCCACCATGGTGGCCAGGTGAGGAGAGGGGGCAGGAACGGGAGCCCCCTGCACAGCCTGCGTGTGCTGGAACCAGGATGCGCGAGTTCCCGGCGGCACGTGGAGGGCGGGAAGGTAAGTGGGCATGAACTCTACAGCAAGGACACGGAGAAGCGGGATCACTGAACCAGGAGCTGGGCGCGGGCACCGAGGTCTGCCAGAGAGCCCCTGCCCATGTCACAGGCTCTGCACCCCGAAAGGCCACCAGGTGGCCTCCAGCGTGACGGAGGGCGGCCAGCTAGGCAGGTCAAACTACCAAAAGCACCAAGCAAGGAGGCGTCTGCGCTACTTTGCCCTCCTCCCGCCCTGCCCCTGATGGAGAAAGAAGCTGTCCGACGAGGAGAAGGAGGGGTGAAGGAGGAGCAGAGACAGAAGAGATCACCCGCCCTCCATCTGGGGATGAAGACCTGCAGCCCTGCAGCGGGGAGAAGGAGAAGCTCGAAAGTGGACGGGAGCGTGAGCTGTTCACTAGACCAACGGCAACCAGCCGAGGAGAGACTGGTCTTCATCCCAACTTCACGGGACTGAACTGCTTTGGGTTACCGGAGAGCTCATCCTGGCAGGGACGTGTTCTGGGTTGAACTCTGTCTCCCCAAGAAGATAGGTCAGGGATCCTAGCCCTCAGTGTCTCAGAATGTGGCCTAACTCAGAAGTAATGTCTTTGCAGATGATCGTGGAGGGGGCCCTGACCCAGTGTGACTGGTGTGCTTGTAAAAAGGGGAAACTGGGGCACAGGGAGAACGTCAAGCAAGATGAAGGCAGGAATGCCAAGGACTGCCGGCAAGCCCCCAGAAGCAGGGGAGAGGCCCGGAGGAGGTGCCCCAACATGGCCTCAGAAGGAACCGGCCCCGCCCGCACCTGAGCTGAGAAAGATCACATCTCTGCACTTCAAGCCGCCCCAGTCTGCAGTACTCTGTCATGGCACCCCGGGGAAATGAGGACAGGAAGGCAGCCCCAACAGCGTGGGTCCAAAACCATGGGCAGAGGGGACACTCTACCCTGTTCCTGTTTGTGTACATCCAATTTCAGCACGTGGAGTGGGTTTTTGTAAAAACATATAAAGAAAAAAATTCCATACAAAACACACAAACTGTTAACAACGGTGACCTCCGCATGGTAGGATCTGTTTGCTCTGACACAGTGTCATTTTCTAATTTTTTTTTAGACAATCAACATGTGCTCACTCTTCAATATTTCATAAAAATATACATATATCATCTTACTGGGTTTTCTCTTCATGACCGCCTATCAGAGTCCTTCCCCTGGAGGAGAGGAAATCCGTGGGAGGGTCTGAAGGGGTGGAAGGTGGGAAGGGACGGGTTTTAGCGATGACCTGAGGCGCACGGGAGGAAGCCCCCGCCTGGCGGACGGGAGCCCTGGGTGCTAGTGCTGGCTTGGCCTCTAGTAAGCTGGGTGGCTCTGAACACCTCTCTCACGCGCATTTTCTTTCGTCTTTAATATGAGAAGGAAAAATGAAATACTCTTAGGTTAAGAAAGCAACTTCTGTGCCTTGACTACACGAGGAGGGTCTAGTCTCACAAGCCGTGGTGTGCGGGGCAGTGGGGGCAGGGGTGGGGGGTGCCGGGATAGAGGGACAGTGAATGCACCTGAGTAGAGAGAGATCGGGGCGGGGGGCCATCCTCCGAGAGTCATGGGGATCCCTTCCCTCATTCCTGTTTCTCATCCTAAAGCAGGGGATCCCCTCTCCTCCTAGCAAACCGTCCCCTAAACCAAATCCTAGATGATCCCCTGATACGGTGGCATCCCCCAAATTCAGTCAGCAAGTGGGTCCTCGGCTGTTTTAGGACGCTTTTCTGGGGGCTGCCCCGTACTGCGTGGACCTCCAGCTTCAGCCCTAAGCTACGAGGGGGAGCTCAGAGAGGGTGCCCTGCTTCCAAAGTAGATTGCTGCTCCCGGGTCACCTTTCCGAGAATTATCCTATTATCCTATCGGTAGGGTGCCTGGGGCTTGAGGACTGGCAAAGCTCTGCTCTCCTGCTGAGAACTTACCATGGGCTGGAGGCTCAGCTCCTGCTTCCAGGCGGTCTGGGGGTAGAAAGGAGCTGGAATATGCAGGCCGAGCCACCTTGTCCCAGGCTGGTTCTAAGACTTTGCCAAGACACTAAGAACACCTGCAAATAAATGGATGGTATGGTGAGACTCACGTGAGAACATGAGCGGGACATTAACCTCCAACCAGGGGCGGAGAGAGTGGAAACACAAGAAGGAGCCCACACCAACCCACGTGCAGAGCTGAGAGAAACCTCAGCTGACAGCAAGCCAGGAATCAGGAGCCTGGGGCCTCAAACCGTCGGACACAGACGTCTGCTGACCCCCATGAGCCTAGAACAGCTTTTACTGCGAGCCCCCCGCGAAAGAGACCCACTGTCCCACACTTTGATTCTGGCCTTGGGAGACCTGAGTGGAGCCCCAGCTCATGTCCCCCTGGACTGTGCAGAGCTGCGAGGTACCGTGGGTGTCGCTTTAAAGCACTGGATTTGTGGTAATCTGGGATACAGCCCTCCACTGGGGGCTCAGGAGAAGGTTTAGGGCTGGGCGGGAGACCACAGAGAGACTCCCTGGGTAGCGAAGGTCTGGAGGAGCAGAGTGGTTGCCATTGTGGGAAACCCGGGGAAGCCCCATCCTTCCAGAAACTTCTCTCCTGAGGAACAAAGCCTTACACTGCCAAAGGAAAGGGCAATAAAAGCTGTTGCTCAGAGCATGGGTAAGACCTACGGCTCCTGACAGGGAAAGGGGGAAAAAAACCCTCTCCCATGTGAGGGGGCAGGCATGTGTCCTAGGCCACAGCGGGAGGCCCCAGCCCCATGACTCAGACACGCAGGGCCCTCCACCACCAGCCCAGGCAGCCCTGAGGAAGAAGCAGGAGCACCAGTGCGTGGAGAAAGTCACAGCGGGGAACAGTGACCAGCCAGCGGGGAACAGTGACCAGCCCACCGAAGCACAGAGCAATGCCAGCGGAACGTGAGGCCAGCAGCCGGGGCCTGAGAGTAGGAACCAGAGCAACAGCAAATGCCAGGCCTGTCTACTCCTGACCAGTCTTGCAGCAACCAACCTCCTGCGTCCCAGCCCCGCGCACAGCGACAGGGGAGCAGACGTCTCTACTCCCACACACAATGCCCGGCATTCATTTAAAAAAGAAAAAAAAAAATACGAGACATACAAAAAGCAAGAAAGAACTCCCCATTGCAGAGACAAAGCAAGGGGCAGAAGCCAACTCGATCCTGGGTCTACGCGCACCAGTACACGGACAGGATGCATATGTGGCTCAAACGCACGTGAAACACGCGGGGGGAACCGACAAATCCTCTATCACAGTGAAAAGATTCTAGCACATGTTTTTAGAAATGAAGATTCCAGATACAAAAAAATAAATAGTAAGAGTATACAACATTTGAATAACAATTTAAAAGCTCGACGTATGGGATCGGACAGTAGAATGTACTTGCTAATCAGAGAATGTACATTCTTTTTAAGAACATCTGGGATAGTTATAAAAACTGACCCCAAAAAGCTAAGAATAAACCTCAACAAATTGCACAGATGCCACTTGCCACTCTCTAAACCAAAAAGCAATACAGCTAGAAAATTATAAGAATGCAGAATTATTTATAACAATGACTGCAAAAATATTACATATCAAATCTGTGTCATAGTTACAAACACACACTTTAAAAAAAAAAATACAGCCCTAAAATACTTTTTAAAAAAAATTACAGCCCTAAGACACTCGTTAGATAAAAATGGAAAATTAACGACATTCATCGCAGGAGGCTAGTACAGAAAAGAGTAAACCCAAAAGACGTAAAAGAGACCAGTATGAGCAGAGATTTTTTAAAGAGGAAATAAAAAAAAATAATAGAACAGGTTAAAAAAAATCGTAACACCAATGTATTACCTGAATCTAATCATGGTGAGACATTCGACAAACCTCCATTGAGGAACATTTCACAAAATAACTGGCCTAGACTCCTCAAAATTGCTATTCTATTGAAGACAATGAAAGATTGGGGAGTTGTTCCAGAGGAAAGACGACAAAGGACATGGGGGAAAAAAGCAATGCATGATCTGAGATCTCCTCAAACTAGAAAGGGTCTTCCTTAGACAACGGGTGAAATGTGAGTAAGATCCATGGAGAGCACAACTGTATCAAAGCTAATTTCCTGGTTTTGATCATTATCCTGTGGCTGTGTGACAGAATGGCCCTGTTTTTGGGAAATGCACACGAAGTACGTACCCACACGCATATGTATGGAGGGGAGAGGAAAAGAGGGAGAAAGCAAGTTGTATATGAAGGAGCCAATGATGGCCTCTGTGGAACCCTAGCAGGCTGAGGCCAGCAGCTCAAAAGACCAGCAGCACCAAACTCCACTATTAACACATGCAGTCATGTCAAAGATAAGCCCAAATATAAACAGGTTTTTTAGTCATTTAGACCTGCCTGCTTTGCCTACCTACCCCATGCAACAGTAGCCAGCGTCTGGAAGCCATAGATAAAAATACACCATGTGGCCACAGAGACCCCAAGCGCCTGTGACCCAGAGAAACCCAGGGGTATCCTTGTCCTCCTCCCTTCCGGGAAGCAGCCCCTGAGCCCCAAACTCTGGATGGTCTCACGCTGCGAGGGACCTCTCCCTAACGTGCATGCTTAAATAAAGCTTGTGTGTGCTCCTGGTCATATGACCATATCTTTTTTTTTATTCGGCCCTGAAATCCCTGAAGCTCCCTACACAGATGTGGTAAAATGTTCATACTGGAGAAATTTAGATGAAAGGTGTTCAGGAATTCTCTGTACTATTCTACCATTGTGACTCTTCTTTATGTACGAAGTTGTGCCCAAATAAAAAATTGCAATCAATTCTTTGAAAAGATTAAAACTAGTAACATAACTGGTTTGTACTTAAAACTAATAAAATAAGTTCAGGCACCACTGATCAAGAAAGCAACAGAAGGCAAAGATGCAATTTTTAAACATGAAAAAAGACAATTTCAGATACACAGAGATGTTTTTAAGTTACAAGATCACTATAGACAATGTAATGCCATAAATCTGAAATTAAACTGGACAATTTCCTAGAAAAATATCAAGTCCTAAAATTGACAAAGCAACAGAAAACTGAAAACAAACAACCACCACCACTAAACATTAATTAAAATGGATCGGTACTCAGAAATCTAACCATCAAGGAAATACCAGGCCCAATCAAAATCTATTCAAGATTTTTGCCATGTGCATAAGCCATAAATGGATTTGGATCTGGAACATATGAAAAAAATACTAAAAATAAATTTTAAAAAGCCAAAGAAATACAGGCAAAGGTAATGAACACACAAAACAATATATTGTTTATGACCACATTCAATCTAGTAAGTAAATAACATGTAAGAATAAAGCAATCTCAGTTGTTACCCAGAGAGGAAGGGAAATGGAACGGGGTGGGGGTGGGGGGGAGATATTAAAAGAGCTCCAGTGGTATTCATAAGGTTTTAGTTCTTTAGAAAATCCGAAGCAAACAAACTTTTAACATCTGTTCAGTCTAAATGGTGACTGCAAAAAGTTTCCTTCTTTTTTCAGTCTGCTGTACCTTGGAGATCTTTTCTAATGTCACTAGTTGAACACACTAAGAAAGAATTATGGTTGTAATAGAAGAAAACCTCCTTCAAGAAGACCCAAATCCAAGTCAAACTGGAAACAACTGATAAGCCTTATCAAGACTTAAAACTAGAGTCCCGGTTTTGCTTCACCCCCTCCCCACCCAGCTCAAGCTTGTCCTGTATCTTGAAAGCCTCAAAGAAAGACAGATCCATCCCCATCTCTGCATCACTGGGCACCCTCACTCACTGTGGCTCCCTCTCTCCTCGCAGAGTGTGGGGAAAGAACCATCTACACTGAACGGTGTCCACCTCCTGCCTTCTTCTGACAGTCTGCAAACGGATGCACTCCCACAGCCCCACCTTCTCTCACCCTTGCCAGCGCGGGAATGGCTTCACAAACCTGAGATACCTTCCCCAAGACCTTAGCTCAGTCCCCATCAACTCTACTCACTGCTGGTAATATTCACACCAAAGACAAATTCCACCACACCACTGCCTTGCCTAAAACACTTCAGGCGCTAATGGGACCCAGTCGATACCCCCCAGCCCAGCTTGATATGCTCCCCGAAACCACCTCCAGCCTCACCACACCCCCCATCCAGGCTCTGCCATGGCGCAAAATCCAGCAGTACCCACACGTTTCATGCCTCTTACCTTTGCATAGGCTGTTGTCTACCCCTAACCCTTTTGCCCCTCCCTCACCTATGGAGACCTTATTTCAAGTCTGATATTCAGTCACGCCTCCCCCAGCAGAAGCTGCCCTCCCGCCTGGGTGTGCGTTCATCCAGTAGGGATAACTATCAGAGCACCCGCACCTTGGTGGCCCTTATCTGCTCACGGGACCGACACCTCCATAGGGCTCTAGCCAAGGATGGGACCCGGTGCTTCCCCCGTGCCTGACCCAGACACTCCACAAATGTTTGTCGGATGAAGCCCGACACCGCAGATCCATGAAATACCAATCGTTTCACATTCTTCCTTCCTTGCCCTCATAGCTCAGAGCCTACCGTTGGCTTGGCTGCGATGTGGGGTCCGAAGGAGTGACGGAGGGTCGGACGGGAGGGGGGGCTCTTCCTCAGCAGTCCCTCCTCGGCCCCAGGAGGCCGCGCCGCGCCAGGGGAGTTCAGGGACCTGGATGGGGAGAGAAGCTCCGGGTCAAGGGACGGAAACAAATCCACCGTCGGGAAAGAGGGGTGACCATTCGGGGGAGAGCTGGCCCCCAGCTCACCGGGGCCAAGGCTGTCACTGGTCCAGCGCGCTAAGCCCCCTGCGGACCGTGGGCTCCGACGAGGCTCGGCTGCAGGACGACAGAAAAGCAGTGAGACCAGCCTGCCCACGGCTCCCGCCCCAAACCAGACAGGAACCCCGACCCTCCCCAGCAGACGTCAGACGGAGCCGCCCACCGGACCCCCCGAGCACAGCACCCCTCCCAGAGTCCGCCAGCTCCGCAGCCGCGGCTGTGCCACACGTGCCCTCTCTACCGCTCGGGCGGAGGGCATTGCCAGTCCTAGATGCCGCGGGGGCCACAGAACCGGCCAGGTCCGCGCTGCCGACCACCGCGAGTCCAGCCTGGGGTCCGGAAGTGCGCAGACCGCTCTCGGAGACCTCCAGACACAGCCAAGACGCCCCTGGACTGGACGGAACTACAATTCCCGGGAGCCTCCACGCTGAGGGACTTCCGGCCGGTGGTCCAGGCGTTTCCGGCCACGGAGTAGCAGGTGCGGGCGGGCGGGCGTGGCGCGGTGGCCCCCCGGTGGACCCGCGGGCGGAGAGTGAACGCATCCTCTCCCACGTTGTTGCCGGCGGCAGTCGCCCTGGGGGCTTCCCACCGGATCGGATCCGGGCTGTCCCCAGCCCTGCACCATGTTGAGGGGTGAGTTATGGCTGTCCCCCCGTGGCCCCCCGTTGGGACGCCACCCTGGGCTTGTCTGTCTGTACGCCATCTCCCCAGAAGTCTGCTACTACCCGAGGGGCTCCTTGCCGGGCCCTTGGTTTTGTAAAAAGAACCTCCTATCCTTCAGTCCTCGTGACTGGCCCGAAGTAGGTATCGTTATCCCCATTTCACAGATGAGGAATCAGAGGCAGCCTTTCTCAATATTTTCACTCCGGAGGAACCCGTGAAATAATCCTCAGCTCTCAGGGAGCCCCTGCCTAAATATTATGTCCGCAGCTCAGGGTGGAGTAAGGCAGCCCTGAAGTTATACGTGTGAGATACTGAACATACAAGTGGACAACGGCCAGAGCGCGTACGGAGATGGAACTCTGACCTGCCGCCGCCACAGCCTCCCCAGAAGCCGGCTCCCTTGTCCGCAGGAAACAGCACGGGAAGCCAGATCGCGATCTCCAGCAACAACCCAGGATGCTGAACGATCCCGTCTGTGACAGTCAGCCCCAAACGACCAGGACGGCTTTCCCAATGCTCGTCCTCACTTCTAACCCAGGACCAACCAGAGAAAAAGTCGAATATACACCCCTAACCCGTCACACAGGCTGCCGCACTTCCAGCGAGCCCGCTGGCCTCCAGCCTGCTCCTGCCGCCAGCCTCCGATGAAGGCTCATCGGAAGCCTCCTCCCTCGTCCCCACTGTAAAACTTTCCCCTTCCCCTGCCTGCCTTTGAGTTTCTGGCAAAACGCAAAGAACAGTGACTGACTCCTTTGGTACAGCAAGCTCTGAATAAATAGCCTTTGCCTGCTCTCATTTGGTTATTTTCAGAGCTATAATTAATTGTCAGTATTTTTCTGTAGATTCTGTTTATCCTGGCCAGCTAGTCTTTTTGTGTGGTATTCCCGTCATCGTTTGCCATTAAACATTTATTATCCAAAATTCATCAAGTGAAGGTAGAGGAATTTAAAGCTTAAGATGTTTTTTATATGCCTGTAGCATTTATACTGCTAAGGTTATTAAAGCTTAATGCTTTGGGATATCCTGTTATAAAATAGTGCCAATAAATTGTACAGGTTTTACAAGGTTGCTGGAATTGTCTATAGAGTTTGAATAACCAAGTATGGTATCGGTCTAAAAGAGATATTCTTTAGGATATACATGTATTGTGTGTGAGAGAGAGGTCAGGGGCAATGAACTTTATCATGTGACTTTTTTAAAAAATCTACTAAAAGGATATAAATTTAAATTTTAACTTAATATATTTGAATAGTAAGCTTCTTATCAATGAATTCATTTTGCATTATTGGGTACAGCCTTTTACTGCTAGATTCAGTTCATGCTCTTTTTTGAAAAAAAAAAAAAAAAAAGTAATCCTATTGTTTTGTAACGTGAGGTTGCTTCTCCTTTTGTATCTATTTCCTGTGTCAGGTTTGGGCATCGGGGATTTGAGTCCTTTGCAGATTCTGCAAAGCTTTATAGCTTTTGTTCTAGAGAAAGTTACCAACAGTAGAAATTATCCTGTTAAAAAACATTTAGAAAGATTCATTTGTGAACCTTCTGAGTGTAGAAACTTTTACAGGATAATTCTCTTGGGATTTCATGTCTTTTACTTTGTTCTTCCTGTTAAACTGATTTTGGTAATCTATATTTTTTCCAAATTGTTCTTTAATTCAGTATTTAAATTTTTTATGAAGTTTTTTTTTTTTATTAAGGCTATTACTTTAAATGTCCAGATCTATTTTTAGAGAGTTTTCCCAGAATTAGTATCTCTTTTGTATTGATTAGCACAACCAGAGATTTATCACTTATTTTTTCCCCCAAAGACTAGGCTTTAGATTTGTTTATGAATTCAATTTTCTTCTTCTCTGGTGAGAGAGAGAATAAGTCTTACGGTTATCTTCTAATACTTTAAATGTCCAGATCTATTTTTAGAGAGTTTTCCCAGAATTGGTATCTCTTTTGTATTGATTAGCCCAACCAGAGATTTATCACTTGTTTATTGCCCCCCCCAAAGACAAGGCTTTAGATTTGTTTATGAATTCAGTTTTTTTTCTTTTCTTCTCTGATGAGAGAGAAAAAGGAAAGTCTTACGGTTATCTTCTAATATTAAGATTACAAGGAAACTACTTTAAAATAAATGGGAGCAGGGGCACCTGGGTGGCTCAATCAGTTCAGCATCTGACTCTTGATTTTGGTTCCAGTCATGATCTCAGAGTCGTGAGATTGAGCCCCACCTGGGACTCTGCACTGAGCACGGAGTCTGCTTGAGATTCTCTCTCTCCCTCTGCCCCACCCTCCCCACCTCAAATAAATAAATAAATAAATAAATAAATAAATAAAATCTTTAACAAAATAAATGGGAGCACTCCATTCAGGAGCATTCCGATGCTAATTACAAAAGAACGAAAAATGGACAGAGCTACATTATTTAGGATGTGGCTAAAACTCCTGTAAATAAAGATGCCAAAACAAGAGTGCCTTAAAAAAATCATAGATGATTTTTTTTTTCCCTCATACGCCCCTCTGGGCAGTTCCAAGGGAGTTAGAAAACTGAGCTCCTTCTAGATTACTCCTCTACCCTCCCAAGATGGCCAACCCCACCTCTGTCCCTCACTCAGCAGTTAGAAGGAAAAGGAAGTGCATAGAATGAGCTTTCTTTTAGGGCACAATCCAAAAGAGGAGGCACAAGTCACTTCTGCACACACCCCATTGGGCAGGTCTCAGTCATATGACCCCTCCTATCTACGGAGAAGACTGGGAAATGAAGTCTTTATTCTGGGAGGGGAATGTTCCCAGCTAAAAATTGAGGGTTTATTACTTTAGGAGCGGAGAACAGATATTGGGAGATAATGAGCAGTCTCTGCCCTAGGAGATAAGAGAGCTTGCAGGATGTCATGGAGAATGCCAGCCAAACGAGTGAGGCAGATGGTGATATTAACCATGAGGCTCCCCCCACCTCATCGAGTTAGACTGTAGATAGTGTTGAATTTTATTTATTTTCTCCATTTCACCAGAGGACAAAATTTAATCTTCTAGGGATGGGATTGGAAATGATAAGCAGTAATAACTAGCCAGATATGCTGGATAGAGCTGGAGACAAGGGGATCTAACTGCTCTGATTATAGATTTTCATGTTTTTCAATTTATTTGAAAAATGTATGGTGTAACAAACCAAACAATACAAATAGAGAAAGCTAACACCCCTGCCCCCGTATTCCCAAATAACAAATGTAAATAGCCTAGTACCTATTCTTCCATATAATTCTGCCTCTGTGTAATCATATAAAATCATACAAAGACCATTCACATTTAATATGGTCATTAATATATTTGGGTTTAAATCTCTCATCTTGCTATTTGGTTTCTGTTTGTCCTATTTGCTTTTTATTCTCCTTTCCATATTTCCTTGCCGTTTTTAGATTGAAAAAAATATATATATTTTTTTTAATGATTCCTGCCTTAGACCATCAGGCTGTTAAAACAGAATACCGTAGACAGGGCAGCTTATAAACAGCAATCATTTCTCACAGTTCTGGAGGCTGGGAAGTCCAAGATCAAGGTGGCAGCAGATTCAGTGTCTAGGGAGGACCTGTTCCCAGGTTTATAGACTCAGGACTTCTCACGGTGTCCTCACGTAGTGGGAAGGGGGAGGGAGCTCTCTGGGGTCTCTTTTATAAAAGACAAATTCCACTGATGAGGGCCCCACCCTCAGGACCTCCCCAAGGCCTCGCCTCCTAATATAATCACATTTGGGGTTAGATTTCAACATAGGAATTTGGGTAATGGGGATGTGGGGGTGGGGGGGACACATATTCAGCCTATAGTATAGAGGCCACTTTCAGGCAACAGGCTTGAGCAACGGAAACCGAGTAAGGCACAAGGGCCCACAGGGGCCACCGGGCTGAATGCAAACAGGCCCATCTCAGGACTCTGAGATCACGACCTGAGCCAAAACCAAGAGTTGGACACTTAACCGACTGCACCACCCAGACGCCCCACAGGCATCATTATCTTAACTATGTCACTAGAACATACTAAACAAATGTGCTGGCCTCAATCCTGGCTCTGCTGTCTGTGGGTGTGTACTTAACCTCTGAGCCAGGTAGAGGCCACTTTCAGGCAACAGGCTCGAGGAACGGAAACACGAGTAAGGCACAAGGGCCCACAGGGGCCACCGGGCTGAATGCAAACAGGCCCATCAGGCGACCCACCTTGAAAGAGCCATAGGCCCACCAATGGGCTACTTACGAGCGGGCACAGGTACCACAAAAGGGAAATTCTGTGTGTGCCCACACCTCCTCACTCCCCTCTTAACTCTAGCCCCCCGTCACGACGTCCTGGCAGACAGCCTCCCCTCTGCTCTCCTGCCCACATTTCCCTTGCAGGGTGTTCAGTAAACTCTTAACTCTTTTGTTCTGCCTCAGGTGAACCCTTCCACCACCCGCACTGCCAGCCCCCACCTGATCATCGCCCCACATATAACAGTTACACTTTATCTCTTCTGTTGGCTCATCAGCTGTAACTCTTTATGTTTTTAGGGGTTGCTTTCGATTCACAGTATGTTTTTTAACTTCTCATGATCTACCTTCCAGTGATATTATAGGACATTCTATCTAGCACTCTCTGGCAATCTGTCCTGAGACCTCTAACCACTTTGGTCTCCCTGGGCTCCTCAACTCAGGGAGTCTACGGGCTTCACCCGGGTTACCCTCTTTGTCCCAAGGATGGGGTA